TGATCTTCATGTCTGTTCTGGTGCCAATCCATGCTGTTTTTGTTACTATAGCTCTGTAGTATAATTTAAGGTCTGGTGTGGTGACGCCTCCCGAATCACTTATCTTGTTAAGGATTGCTTTGACTATTCTGGGCCTCTTATTTTTCCAAATGAATTGCATGATTGCTTTTTTCTATTTCTATGAAGAGCATCATTGGAATTTTAACAGGAATTGCATTAAATCTGTATAGCACTTTTGGTAGTATCGCCATTTTGAAAATATTAATTCTGCCTACCCAAGAACATGGGAGATCTTTCCATCTTCTAAGGTCTTCAATTTCTTTCTTTAGTGTTCTGTAGTTTTCAGTGTAGAAGTCTGTCACCTCTTTTGTTAAACTGATTCCCAAGTTTTTGTTTGTTTGTTTGTTTGTTGAGGTTATTGTGAATGAGATGGTTTTCCTAATTTCTCTTTCATCATTGTATATAGGGATGCAACTGACTTATACATGCTAATTTCATATCTTACTACTTTGCTGAATTTGTTTATGAGTTTTAGAAGTTTCCTGGTGGAGAATCATGTCATGGGCAAACAGGCATAGTTTGAGCTCTTCTTTTCCTATTTGTAACCCTTAAATTTCTTTCTTTTGCCTAATTGCTCTGGCTAGAGTTTCAAGGATTATGTTGAATAGACATGGTGAAAGAGGGTATCCCTGTCTTGTTCCAGATTTTAGAGGGAATGCTTTCAATTCTTCTCCATTTAGAATGATGTTGGGCTTGGTTTTATGCATATAGCTTTTACAATGTTAAGGTATGTTCCTACCATTCCTAGTTTTTCTAGTATTTCGAACATAAATGGATGCTGTATTTTGTCAAATGCTTTTTCTACATCTATTCAGATAATCACATAATTCTTGTCTTTAAGTCTACTGATTAATGATTTCCATATGTTGCGCTAACCTTGCATCCCTGGGTTGAAACTGATTTGATCATCTTTTTTACTATGCTTTTATCTTTTTAATATGTTTACATATTTTATTAAGAATTTTTGCATATATTTCTAAGATATATATATAAAAAACTCAAAAACTTAACACCAAAAAAAAAAACTCAATCAATAAATGAGCAGGGGAACTGAACAGATGCTTCACAGAAGAAATACAAATGATTGACAAATACATGAAAAAATGTTCAACATCTCTAGCAATTAGAGAAATGAGAAATGCAAATTAAAACTACAGTGAGATTCCACCTCACTCCAGTCAGAATGGCAACAATCAAGAATACAAGTAACAATAAATGTTTGAGAGGATGTCCAGGGAATGTAACTCATTCATTGCTGGTGGGACTGCAAATTGATAATAACCACTCTGGAAAGCAGTATGGAGATTCTGTAGAAAACTTGGAATGGAAACACCATTTAACTTAGTATCCCACTTCTCAGTGTATACCTAAGGGATTTAAAATCAGCATACTAAGGTAACGCAGCCACATCAATGTTTATAGCAGGTCAATTCATAATAGCAAAGCTATGGAACCTAGGTGCCCTTCAACAGAAGAATGGATGAAGAAAATGTGAGATATATATCTATACACACACACACACACACACACATACATATACACAATGGAATACTACTCAGCTATATAAAGAAGAATGACTTTATCTCTTTTGCTGGTAAATGGGTGGATATGGAGACTACCAAGCTAAGTGAAATAAGCCAATCCAAAAAAAACAAAGGTAGAATATTCTCTCTGATATACAAATGCTAACACACAGCAGGGGGTGGGGTGGGGGGAGAATAGAATTTCAACAAATTAGACAAAGAAGAATGAAGGGAAGGAAGAAGGGACGGAAATAGGAAAAACAATAGAATGATATGACTTTTCTATGATCATATATGAATACACCACCAGTGAAACTCACATCATATACAATCACAGAATGAGATCCTAATTAGAATAAGTTACAATCCATGAATAGATAATATGTCAAAATACTCTAATGTCATGTATATCTAAAAAGAACAAATAAAATAAAGAGGGAGAAAAAGAGAGTTGCATAACTCTAGCAATGCTTAGATTTCTCACAGTTTTCCAGTTCTGGGTATAAATGAGAAATGAATGGTCCATCCATTTTAAACATTAATAAGAGCTTGCAAATTTTAATATATGTGTTATATTACATTATTTTAGAAAAATATTCACTTCCTCTTTACCACCTCCAAGGGAAGAATATATTTCCTGGTCCCCTAACTTTGGACTTGGTCAAGTATCTTACTTTAGCCAACAGGATTTTAGCAAACATCATGCAAGCAGAGGCTTATGTGCTTTTGTAGTTAGGCTTGCTCTCTTATATCTATGCCATCACCACAAGAATATGCCAGTTAGCTGGCCCAAAGACTAGGGACATCTGGACCAAGATTATAGCATAAAGCCACTTGATCCCAGCCTATATCAGTCAACTCCCAGGTTGCCCATGTACAAACAAAATAAATGCTCACTGTTTTATGTCAATGTGATGTTTGTTTTTGGTTTTGTTGTTGTTACTCAGCAATAGCTAGCAAATACACTGCACTAAGGACTCAGGGCTATGGGCCACTTAAAGACTGTCCTTAATCTGATACTTTCCACAAGCTCTTACCAGTATCCATTAAAACCAACTAGCTAGGCCCTGTGCTAGGAACAGATTAATAACACATCATCTATCCCCAGGGAGAACTCCCATTCTAGTGAGAAAGACTCTAATAATCCTGAAACAATAAAGGAGTTTCCTAGCAGAATGAGGAGCGAGTGAGTGGGACAGAGGGAGGAGTGGCGGGGTAGGTAATTGGGGGCTTGTCAAAGTAGAGTGGAAGAGTGGAAGATGAGCAGTCACTGAGCACGTAGAAAAGATTTTTAAAACTCCAAGTAGGTACATGTATACCATTAAATGTAAAAATGTGCAGAGCTCAAACGGCAGCCATAACTGAACTTGTTACTATATTGATTTGGACAGCAATTTGGAATGACTATAAGTGCTGTTCAACTAGGGGTTTTATTATACTAAGAACTACTGAAGTCCTGTTGCAAAGCAACAAAAGAAGACAGTGTCTACCTAAAAAAGTATATATGTGGGGCTGCAGTTGTACCTCAGCAGTAGAGCGCTCACCTCACACATGCGGGACTCTGGGTTCGATCCACAGCACCACATAAAAATAACTAAGTGATATTGTGTGCAACTACAACTAAGAAATAGATATTTTTAAAAAGCATATATGTATAAAGATAGAGGGAGAGAAAGAATGAAAATTAATCCCTTACCCAAAATTTTTTGGACCAGAAATGTTTCAGATTCTTTTGAATTTTTGGAATATTTGTGTGTGTGTGTGTGTGTGTGTGTGTGTGTGTGTGTGTGTGTGTATGCACTATCTTTGGGATAGAACCAAAGTCTAAACATGAAATTCATTTACATTTCATATACACCTTATACACACAGCATAAAATAATTCCATATAGTATATTTAGTATACCTGCATTTTGACTGCTACCCATCCATGAAGTCAGGTATGGAACTTTCCACTTGTGGCTCATGTCAATACTTAAAAAGGTTTCAAATTTTGGAGCATCTAGAATTTCGGATTAGGAATGCTCAATATATACATATATATATGAAATATATAGATACAGATATTATATACATATACATATTTATATAATTTGATAACTTAAAGCTTATATTTACTACTTTGATAATTCTATTTTAAGAGACATTTCCCCCAGCCAGGTGGCTTAACCTTGTAATCCCAATAACTAGGGAGGCTGAGGCAGAAAGATCACAAGCTCGAGGCCAGACTCAGCTAAGGCCACACTCAGCAACTTAGTGAGGCCCTAAGCAACTTACCAAGAACCTATCTCAAAATAAACCATGAAAGGACTGGGGATATAACTCAGTGGTTAAGTGCCCCTGGGTTCAATCCCAGGTGAAAAAAAAAAAAGACATTTACTTCATTATAGACAGTGCGCATGACAATGATCTCTAAGGATATTCATTTTGTTGTCCTACAATACCATTTATAACATTACAGAGAAACCAAAATGTTAATGCTCTGGAAAGACTGTCAATAAGAAATGATCTTAATGATCTTAATGCTAACGAGTTATGTCAAAACAACACTAACAGACTACTGCATGAACATGCCTCAAGACAACTCCAAAGAAAATCCAAACACTATTTTGGATTTAAAACACCATTTCAAGTAAGCTGGGAAACTCTTCTCCAAATACAAGACGCAGAAGTGGAAAGCTTACTTGGGTAAAGTTTTCTGCAGGAAACCTCAAGGAGTTTGGAAAGAATGTCAGTGAGCACAAATCAGAATTCCCGTCAAACCTACACAAGAGTGACCCGAAACAGCAGAAACTCTCAAGTACTAGAAGACACCAACGTTTAACCCACGCACTCCGACAAGTACACCTTGGACACAAAGTGTCCCGCTGATCATTTCAAACCACAGGATAAACCTTTGCCTTTCACATCACGGCGAGAGCGGGAGAGAAACAGTCTTCCTGATCTCTTTACGCTCCACTATATGCAAAGAAACCAAAGCAATGCAAGTGGTGTCATCGTCCCAACACTGGCAACCACGTTGATCTCCAAGAGACTTGGGGACGGGGGTGCAGACTGGGAATCGGTGACTCGTTCCAAACTTAAGAACCCTGGGGAAGGAGGCAAATCAGAAGCAGGGAAGAGGCAGTGCGCGGTGGGGAGCTGCGGTTCCACGGATCAGACTGGCGAGCAAGGGAAAGCCCCCCCAGACAAACGTCTAAAAAGGGTCTTCTACTTGGATCTGAGTTTCCAAGGAGCTCAGCCATGCCAGACTCACTACCCGCCCAAACCCACCGATTTCTTTTTTGATGGGACTTAGGTGAAGCAAGAGGGCGCTTCTCCAATAGCGAAGAGGTAACTCTTGGTGCCAGTCCGCTCTCCAGGTACCTGCCAGGGGAGTGGCCAGAGGCACAGGTGAGACGAGCAGGCATCTGCTTACCTGCCGCAGGAGCTTCCATCGGGCGGCTCCCAGGGACGTCGAGACTGCAGGCTCCCGAGTAGTACCTCCAACAACCAGTCTCTCACAGGGGGCTTGCTCAGTCTCGCAGGTCCCGGCGTCCGCGACTAGCGATTCCATCCCACTGGGATAGTCTGTTCGTGGAGGTATTGCCGCCACAGCTCTCCCCTGTCAGGACCTGCCAACTTCTTCCCTGTCAGGACCTATGACGCCAAGGCAGCTGCCTATGGTCCTTGCGCGCGCGCCCTCCCCGAATTCCGCATTTCCGGTATTCACGTCTCCTTGGTAACCAGGGTAGCGCTCTCACGTCATTGCACCATTTCGCTGGTGGCCATCTTGAGTGAGGGCAAACCAGAATGTGAGGTAGTAGTGGCTGAGCTAGTGGGATGCTTTTCTCATTGCTTTCTTTTATCCTGCTTTCGCTTCAAACTCAAATGTTTATCCCAGACCCAAAAGGATCATATTTTGGAAGACTATAGAAGCCAGGAATAAAAAAAGTCCGACCCTAACCACAATAAAGATGGCGAAACGTGCTTAGTCCTCGTGCTGGATTGTGGTTACGTAGATCGGCGTGCTGCAAACCAGCTCTGGGCGGCTTTGGGTAGGTTGTAGTTCTGCGGGCTGCAGAGCGCAGACTTCGGGTGGACGCAGCTGAGGTGACTGTTGCTTCTCCCTGAGAACTTCGGGTTCTCCTCCTGTCTTCAGTCGTTTGTGTCCAGAGCCGGACTTTCAATTTGCGTATGTATTGGGGGGGTGTGCTGGATGTCTCTTCCATAATCCCTTCCCGCCCCCCACCCAGCCACCCCTCAGTTCCCTGGTCCCCCTTTTTTCACCCGTGTCTTTTCGCTGCGTGGTAACTGGTACCACTCTCTCTTGCACCGAGATTGTCACATCCCAGAGGGGAATGTTGCACGGAGAAAATGAATAGATACCCTCCTAAGAACACCCATTTGTCTTCCCCACCCCCCTCCCTAGCCTTGCGTAGCGTTACTCCGTGCAGATGAAGAATGTGATGGATTGAGGCTGTGGGGATAGATAGAGTGATTTAGGGGCCTTTTTTCTTTTTTGTTATTGTCGGCTGCTGCTCCCTATCCCCACTTGCCCGTTATTTTGCTGCGACATAGAAGGAGCTAAGGGGGGAGGGGGCGTCGTCGCTGATCAGATCTGAGCTAAATCTGACGCAGTGTTCTACCCATGACAACAAGGGGCATTTTGGTAGAATTCCATGATTACATTCAACAATGTGCGACATACCTAGATTACTCCTGAGCTAGTAATATTAATTATCTTTTGTTGAGTGGTTACTACGTGCCAGACACTTAAGGTTTTAATGTAAATTGCCTCATTCTTAAACAATAATCCCAGAAGATGTCATTATTTTAGTTTTGCAGATAAAGAAACTGAGGACCAGAGCTAGTTATGTGCAGGGTGCAAAACCCGAACCCAGGTCTCTGACTCTTAACTGCTTCACTAGCTACCAAGGTTAAAAAGAACCCAACTACCAGCAGAAACCAGAGATGACCTCATGTTTTATTTGTGCATCTTTGCAGTGTTTCTATTTTTTAATTAAAAAGGGAAATGCCCTTTCAAAGTTAAAGCCTTACAGTTTATGTCCAAAATTGGGCTTTTTGCTATACAACTTTCTGTCCTAGTGAACTGAGGCAGTGGTTTAAACCTTCCAGAGCCACAGTTTGCACACCTGTAAAATGAGCATCTTTACAGCTACTTTATAAAGTCCATATAAAGTTTATATTAGACAAAAAGTATCTGGCACGAAGTCAACACTTAACAAATATTAATCTCCCCTACATTATTAAGTTATTGGGTTTTTCCTATAGATCCCCCACATATATACCAAAGATATATTCAGAATTATATATAAGATTCATTCCATTTTTCTTCTTAAAGCCCTCCGAGTTCCTGATATTCTCCATTACTATGTACTTATTTGCAAATGTTTATTCCTTATTTTCTGGTTTTTTTTTTTTAGTTTGCCTTTAATGTATACCAGAACTAGCACTGCATAGCTAGAGCCTAATAAGATTGACTTTTAAAAAGGAACTTTTAAAGTCACACCTGTCAAGAAGTATGATCTAAATGAACTAACTTAAGTCTTTAAAATTAATTTAACCTAAGATACCTGTGATCTGCAGATTTTCATAACCTATGGGGTGCATAGCCATGAAGGAAAGGGATAATAAGATCTGGTTATCCTAGATGCCTGAGAACTCACTACTATACTAAATCATTCGTGTCCTGGCAGCCCCAAAGGGAGCATAAACCAGGGACTTTGATATCATGCAGCAGAAGACCAAATTATTTCTCCAAGCTTTGAAGTATAGTATTCCTCACCTTGGGAAATGCATGCAGAAACAGCATTTGAATCACTTTAACTTCGCTGATAATTATTACAGTAGAATAAAATTGAAAAAATATCACCTAACCAAGTGTCTACAGAATAAACCCAAGATATCAGAGTTAGCAAGAAACATCCCAAGTCGGAGCTTCTCATGTAAGGTATGGACTGTTTAAGTTAACCTATTTGTAGGTCATTTATATTAACTTTAGCTTTAAAATAATGGATAGACTATTAGAGCTACTAATTTTCTCAGTTATTCTATCTTGATTTTTTTAAATTTTCAGTCTCAGTTTTCTGTAAGTCTAAAAGAATACATACATATCTCTTTATAGATCTGTATCCCGCCCCCCCCAAAAAAACATAAGTTTACACAAAAATTATTCACATCATTACTTCTGTAATGTGCCTGCCAATGTAATCCCAGTTTCTCTGGAACAGTACCACTCTTACACCTATTGTCCCTTGAGATTATTAATAGTCCCTTCACCTCTCAAAAGTGTCCTGGTTAAGATGTTAAATGATATGATCATCCTACTTATTTGCAATGAAGCTATCTACTTATGCTACTGCCTCTTTGGCAAACATCCTCTACCTTTTACTTAATGTTCCTTAGATTAAGTTATATTTGGGGGTAATAGTCTTGCAATATTTTGGCAATTTTATGACTGATTATTTTTTTATTTTAATTATTTTGCATACTAATCTTTGGCTTTCTCTTGTTTTAAAACATGTATAACATAAAATATGCAGTTTAGTCATTTTTAGGTATACAGATCAGTGGCATTAATTATATTCATAATGTTGTACAACTTTCACCACTATTTGCAAAACTCTATCATCACCTCCAAAAATGTACCCATTAACTCTCCACTGTCCCTTTTCATTAGGCCCTGGTACCTCTAATCTACTTTCTGTCCTTATAAATTTGCCTATTCTACATATATCATACAAGTAGAACAATATAACTTATATAATTTTATGTTTGGTTTATTTTACTTAGCATAATGTTTTCAGGGTTTATTCGTATCAATATGTACAGAACTTCATCCATTTTTGTAGGAATAACATTGTGTTGTATATATAAATCACATTTTATCTATTCATCTGTTGATGGAAACTTATGCATTTTATGTTTTTAAGAAGATAAATTTTTAATCTTATTTTATCTAATTTTTCTAGTTTGTATTCAATTTTTGCATTTCTCTTAGCTCATAACTATTTTATGGTTGTGTTTCTCTGGCTTTTAACTTTTTTAAATTGGGTCCCTATTCTCCCTGGACTTTTATTCTTTACATTTTAATCTTTGAAATTGTTTTTCTCTTTATAGCATTTTGGCTTAGTTTGGCACTTTGATTCTTTACACACTTAAATTCTTTGTGCCATTTATTTATTTATTTATTTTTGCATGGTCTTGTCCTGCTTTATAGTGGTAAACTTTTGAATTTACCTACAATTTTGGACCTTTAGATTGCTTTAATTTGCATTGCATTGTGTTCAGAACATTTTGTCATTTTATACTGAGTTTATAAATAGTAAGCAGGAATTACTGTCAGGTTGGCAGCTGTGAGATTAGCTCACACCCTAAACAGGAGGTGGACTATTTTTTTCTCTCCATTTGTCCCTGAAGCAACTTTTCAGTTCTCACAGATTCCCATTACTTAGAAACTAGAATGTTTCAATAACTTCAAGAATAGCTCTTTTAGTACTTCTTTTAACCTGCTGTTGGTCCTGCTTTCACACATAGTATGTCAACTATTCCCTCTTTAATAAATACAGGAGTAGTTAAAAAGCTATTGTTTTTATCCTCTATGATCACTAAGACCTGGGGAAGCTTTATAGAGATACCCCCTCAGCTGTGACGATAACCTAGAATGCACATTTCCTTCTTTCTGCAAGCATCTACAAGTTCTAGCTTTGATTGCTATAACTGGGTATAGCAAAGTAGAAAAATAATTGTGCTTTTCCACAAATTTAAATGCATCTGTTTAAAGTAAGCCCTATTACTTATGTAAGTTAAATAAAGAACAGAAGAAGGCACCATGTGTAATGGAAATGCTGGAAGATAAAAGGTAAATCCATAACTAAACTACTTAGAATTCTTAATTTTCCTGATTGGGAAAAAAAATACAAAGTTTTAACTTAGTATTCTCTAAAAGTCCAAGTAGTACAATTTCATAATTCTATACCTCTACCTGGTTACCTAAGCAACAGATTATCACCTATAAGTTTGGTATTTTTTAGTAACAACTTCTGCAGTCTAGTTATATATTAGAAATCCTGAGGAAAGTTTTAGAAATGCAGATAGACTGGATCTCACCCTGCATTTGCTGGATCAGAATAGCCAGGAAGCTTAAGGATATGTTTTTCAAATCTCCTCAAATAATTCTGAAACTCATAGCCTGCTACTGTCAGCATACCTATGTTTAGATGCTTGGTAATCAGATGTTGTTGACCTAAATCTAATTGACTTCTTGAAATTGTGAAGTTCTTTTTTGGCAAGTATCTTAGCTTTCCATTTTGCATTTGCCAGGTGGTAGTATGAAACTTATTCCATTACACTCACGTGCCAGCTAGTAATACTGAGAAGGCTAGCCTCAAACCAGACACCACATTTATCTTCCATATCATCCTGCACTGTTCCGCCTACAAAAATAATTTTTAAATTTTTTTGACAAAAAATTGAATAAGTGGGGCTGGGGATATAGCTCAGTTGATAGACGGCTTGCCTCACATGCACATGGCTCTGAGTTGAATCCCCAGCACCACAGAAAAATTTTTTTAAAAAATTGAATAAATAAAAGCAGTACTAAATCCTTTGGTTAAATATGTGTCATTTGTCTGTATTTATAATACAGACTGACAAGGTCCTGCAGTAGTCACCAAATTTGATGCACTGACAGACTTATTTTTCACTAACACTATTACCTGTGGTTTACAAGAATCACTGGTTTTAATTAGTAGGTTAACCGTCAGAAATGAAGGGGAAAAAATGAATTTTGAAGGAAACTCAGAACAGAAAAAAATGTGGTCTCAATAACTTTTTTTTTTTGTGGCAAGAATTCATAGAGTGGGTCTGCCTTTAGGTATGACTAATTCACTTACTGGGTATTTCTCCACATTCTACTTTCTCTTTAACCTGCTTGAGTTTGACTTCAGCTTCTTCATTAGAACTTCTGCCAAGATCATCTAAGATGTTATGTATTTCAACCCAGTGGATACTCTGCTTTCCTCCTGTTGCAGGCCTTCTCAGCAAATTTAACACACTTAATCCTAACCTTCTTTTATTTTGACTTTCTGACTCCCCATTTTCCTGGTTTTCCTCTTCTAAACATGGGTCTCCTTTTCTACCTTTTTTTCCATGTGACTTCTGAATTTGAGGGTTTCTTAGGACTTGGTTACCATAGCAACTATTACCTTCATTCCAGACACCCTTCTGAAATATATGGTATTTTGCTTCCCACCTAACAAGTCTTCAGTTGGACATTTCCTCAGCTTCCCAAGCAAATTATCCACAGCTGAACTTTAGCTCCCCCAGTCCTAATTCAGCTCTTCTTTATGCCTCATTGCTGTATACCCAGGTGTTCAAGAGCAATTTTTTATTCTTCCCATTTTTTTACCCTTTCATTAACAGTATATGCCAGGGGCTGGAGTTGTGGCTCAGTGGTAGTGCACTTGCCTGGCATGTGTGAGGCCCTGGGTTCGATCCTTAGCACCGAATATAAATAGATAAATAGATAGATAAATAGATAAATAAATAATTGATCCATTTATAACTAAAAAATATTTTTTAAAAAAAAACAGTTCTGTGATTTGGGGCATCTGTTGATGTCACCAAGTTTGTAATTTTAATTATTTTAATTAGCTCAGCCCATCCCAAGGAATAATATTCAGTAAATTGCTTGATATTCTAGTTAAAGTCTTTATAATAAAATGTTCACATACCCCCAAATCATCATACAATTGTATACAACATGCTTTCAGAAACACTTCAGTAACCTCCAGAATGAAAATATATATATATAGAATTTGTTTGTATTTCTCCCTGTTTGCCACCATCACTGTAGTTATCATTCACATGGACCCCGGTAAGACTCCTAACCAGACTCTTACTTGCCCTCTTTTTCCATGCAATTAGAAGAATGGCCTTAAAATATAAGTTAATGTCAATTCCCAACTTAAAACTTCTCCAAAGTTTTAATATCATAAACATAAAATTGGGGCTGGGGCTTGGGCTCGGGCTCGGGCTCAGGCTCAGGCTCAGGCTCAGCAGTAGAGCACTCACCTAGTATGTGCAAGGTGCTGGATTCCATCCTCAGCACCACATAAAAATAAGTAAAATAAAGGTATTGTGTCCAACTACAACTAATAGATAGATAGATAAACAGATTGATAGATAGATAAACATAAAATTTAGTTTCATAATTAACACTGTGCTTAATCTAGTCCCTCTTTGATTTTATGCTACTCCCCCCTTCCTCGTTCACTTTGATTAAGCCAAAGAGGTCATCTCCAAATAAAGGAACACCACTCTTGCTCAGTCTCAGGATGTTTATATAAGATTTCCTAATTCCATTTTTTACTAGTTTCTTCTGTTTTACATATTGATTAAATGTTACTTTCTTTGAAGTTACTTTGGTTACCATGGTCAAAAATGCACAGGAACTAGGCAGAGGGAGCAGCATGTGTAAAAACTCAGGATTAAATTCTATAAGCAATGTATCAACATGGTTAAAGATGAGCTACAAGAGGTAAACAGGGCCAGGTCATGTGTAGATAGATTTTTAATTCTTGTGAGAAATTTACACTGTATCCTAAAAATGTTAGAATGTAGGTGCAATCAGATTGCACTTTAAAAGTATCATTGACAGATTTACAGAAAATAAATTGGAAGTATGAAGCCTTGTAACTCAGATAAATGAAAACGAGAGCATAACTTAAGGTCGTAAGAATAAAGTAGATTTGAAGGAAAATTGGAGAGAATCAGTTGAACTTTGTCATTATAAAATGATTGCATTTTATTTGAAGAGTACAGAGTGGTAATCTATTTGGATTCTAAAATCAAAAAGTCTTAAACTTTTTTAACTGAGAGCAAGGGAGCAGAACTAGACACAAAGCTATGATGATCTTCATTTAGCTCACTTAATAGATACTCTGCTCT